GGGATCCCGGGAATGCTCCGCCTGCTCCGCCTCCTCTGCCCGGGAATTTCTTGCTTATTCTGCTCTTTTTCTGGCGTTCCTGCTCTTTTCTACCTCTTTCCTCTGTTTCTGAGAGCGCTCTGCTCGCTCTGGTCCTGGGGTGCTCAGAGCATCCTTGGGGTCCCCTGGGGTTCTCCTGGGTTTGGGGTCCCCCTTTGCTCCCTTTGCCACATGGGATCCGGTAAAAACTCTGCTCAAACCCTGCCCTGGGTGACCATGGGGACATCCAGGTGCCACCACTCCCTCGTGGTGACACTGTCCCCTTCCCGGGCTCTGCAGGTGACCGGCTGGTCAAGGTGAACGGGGAGAGCATCATCGGGAAAACCTACTCGCAGGTGATCGCCCTGATCCAGAACAGGTGAGCGCCCTTCCTGGGAGGGGAGGTGACAGCGTGGGGACACGTCACAGCAGGCTCTGGGTGCCACTGGGATGACAGGGGCCCTGAGGTGCTTGGGTGACCAGGGACAGTCACCATTGTGTGGGGACAAGGACATTCATATCGTGGGGGATCCAGCGAGGTGTGAGCTTGGGGACAGGTGGGACTGACCTCTCTGTCCCCTGTCCTGCAGTGATGATGTGCTGGAGCTCTCCATCATGCCCAAGGACGAGGACATCCTCCAGCTGGTGAGTTTGCTGGCCAGGTGCCTTGGGGACACTTGGGGACACTTGGGGACACTTGGGGACAGGGGTCCCCCCCAGCATCCCTGGAGGAGCTACGGGTGCAGAACTGGGGGTACTGGGGCAGGAACAAGGCAGATGGGCCATGTGATTTTGGGGGAGCACCCTCAGGCACAGCTGGAGGATGAATTGTCCCAGGTTTCCAGGGCTGACTTATTCTTGGACCCTCTCCCTCAAGTGGCTCTGCCATGAGTACGCCAGCATCTGGGGGTGACAGTGGTCCTGGCAGCATGGCCTGAGTTTGGGGCTCCTCCTGATGCCTCTCCCATCCCAGCTTGGATATTCGGTGGCTTTCTGAGTCATTCACTGCTTGTTCCCAGCCTGGGAGACCCCTTCCCATAGGGCTGGGGGGTTTTGCAGGGTGGTCCCCACCTGTGCCTGCTCTGAGCTCTGGGAGTCCCCTGGTGTGGAGTCAGGGACACGTGAAAAGTGAGCTGGGATGGCTGTGAGTGGGAATTGTCGTGCCGGGGTATTTTAGGAAGGAGGGGAGGGGACAGAGGAAGGACTGCCACTGCTGCCAGCGCTGCTCGGAGCCGGGGGGGACCACGTGGGAAAGTGGGATGGGTGTGGGGGGCTGCATCGAGCCCAGCTGACCCCACGGGAGGCTTGCTCAGGGGTTGGGGGATGCAGAGAGCATCCCTATGGTGGGCGTGTGGAACACTGTGACCCTGTCCCCCCTCCCTGACCCTCTGTCCCCCCCTGCCCAGGCCTATTCCCAGGATGCCTACCTGAAGGGCAACGAGCCGTACTCCGGGGGGGCTCAGAGCATCCCCGAGCCCCCTCCCATCTGCTACCCACGGAAAACGTNGCTGGGGGGGCAAGCAGAGGCTGCTGAGGGGTTTTGGTTCTTTTCTTTCCCTACCTGATCCTGCAGCTCTGGTGGTCTCCATAATTTCCCCCTCCATGCTAAGCCCACCCTGAGGCCACCCCAGAGCAGCATGGCGGGGTCCCACTGGTTGCCAGTGATGCCATAGGATTTTAGCTTTTATATTTTTCAAATTCTGTACTGCTTTAGGGAATAATTCTGAAACTCCAGTCAGCAGCTGCTCTCCTGTTTTATTCAGACAAAACAATTCCTCTCCAGGCCTGTAACTCAAGGACACCTCAATACCTTAGTCCCCAAAAAAAATTTAAAAAGTGAATTGCAGGAGGGAATCGAACTGGGAGTAAATTGCTTCATTACCTGAATCTGTAATTAGAGGATTAACCCAAATTACATCCATTAATATCAATTAATTGATGCATAAATGGATCAAACTTATAATTTTCTGAAAAACTCGTGGCCATCATCCATTTTGGGCATAGCCCCTTGGAGAGGCTTCGGCTGCCCTTAATGTACCTGGAGGCCCTTCATTAAATAGATCCACTCTTATTCTCTTCATTCTGGTTTTAGGTAAGCCTGAAAAAGGCATCACCAGCACATGAGGGGCTTCAGAGCCCACCCTGGGACACCCATAGGGGTCCTGCAGGGCTGGGGGTCACTCACATGCTGACGGGGGGGTCCCGCCATTGGTGGCCTCTGTCTTCTCACTGCAACCAAAGAGAGGAGGGGGCTGAGCGTGGGTGGGCTTGGTGTCCCCTGGGAGGGGGACAGGGACAGACCCCCCAGGAGGGACATCCCGCCCCCGCGGTCCCAGAGCTGCCCTCACCTGGGGGTCTCAGCCTCGGAGCCGCGGAGCAGCGCGCTCTGCACCAGCCCCGTCAGGCTGGCGATCTGCTTCTCCATGGCCTCCATCCGCTCCCTGCACCAGGAAAGGGATGGGGACAGGTCATGGGCTGTGTCTGCCGCCATGGCCACTCCCGGCTGCTCCTGGCCCTGCTCACAGCCCGTCTGTGCCACCCGGGAGCTGGGGACACGGCTGTCACCAGCTGCAGCCACGCTCCTCATTCCCTGTCTGTGCTGCCCGATTCACCATCCTGGCATCGCAGTGGGGACAGGGCAGTGCCTTCCTCTGCTCCTCCTTCCCCTCCAGTCAATACAAAATCCCCCTGTAGCAAAGCTCAAACCCACCGGGGATCCCAAATCCAATGGCAACGGAAAACCTGGAGCATCCCAGGTACAAAGACAAGTCCAAGAAAACCGGGAGTATCCCAGGTGCCAATACTCCAATCCAGTAAATCCTGGAATACCCCAGGTGCAAACACGAATCCAGAAAAACCTGGAGCATCCCAGGTGCAAACACAACCTGGAGCACCCCGGGTGCAAACACAACCTGGAGCATCCCAGGTGCAATCACAAATTCAGAACAACCTGGAGCACCCCAGGTGCAAGCACACCACCCCTCCTCTCACCTGGTCTCNCTCTCGCTGTGGCCGTGGGATGTGGCCGTTCCTTGGGTGCAGGTGCTGCTCCTTGTCGCCGGCAATGTCGCACACTGGTGCCCTCCTGGCACCCTCTGGGTGGCCATGGAACTTTGGTGACACCAGGGCAGTGTCCCCACAGTCTGGGGGCTGTGGCCAGGCCTGTGCTCCCAGCCGGGCATGGAAAATGGGAATTTCCCTTCCAGGTGCCCAGACCCCTCCTTGGGGGGACCTGAGACCCACCCTGTGCCCCACCCCAACCTGGCACCCCCTGCCCGGGCAGTGTGGCTTTGCTGAGGCTCCCCACGGGGAGTTTTGGGTTAAAAGGGCAGGGATTTGGCACTATTACCACCCCCGGCACAGATCAGTGCCCACCGCAGCCCTGGCACTGGGAGGCTGCAGGGATGGACAGGAATGAGGATTCATCCAGGATGGGACGGATCCCCCCCTGGAACCCCACGGCAGGGGTTGGGCTCTCCCCGGTGGCCCGGGGTGAAGGGTCAGATGCCACCCCAGGGCTGGCAGGGCCCCTTCCCGCTGCCCTGCCCCAAACCCGGCCCCAGGGCGGCAGCTGGGTGCGGGGGGCTGCGCGGGTCCCGCGGATCCGGTGTCAGGCGGTAATTTTAGCCGGGGGCGGCGGAGGGCAGAGGGACGAGGCTGCCACCCCCTGTCCCCTCCGGTCCTCTGGTCACGGCCCCGCCACCAAATCAATGCTTTTCTCTTTTTGTTTTTGGCAGGAGGAGGAGAATGGGAACCGAGCAGGTGAGCATTGGCGTGGGGACCCTGGGGACAGCGGCACAGGGTGGCACAGGGGAGAGGGGGGTGACGCAGCTGTCACAGGTCGCAGCGGGTTTTGCTGTTGTCACCACAGTCCTAAATATCAGCTGGCGGTGAAGCCACGCCGGGCTTTGGTGGCGGCTTGGTGGCTCCTGGCACCGGTGATGGCTCGNGGAGTTTAGGGACACACGGCAAACACCGGGACACCGAGGGCGGGACGGGACAGCCCGCGGGGCCGAGAGAGAGGGAAAGAGGCGGCGGCAGGCAGAAGCAGATTCCAGGTGGGAACGGCGGCAGTGGGAGTACAGAGGAGTTTATTTGCTGTGCACAGGTGAGGATACACAGACGGCAGTGCCACACCCCCCCGTGTCCCCTCCCGTGCCAAGGTCCCCTCCTGCCTGTCCTGCTCCAGCCCAGGCTGGGGAATACCTGGCTTAGGTGAAGCCCTGGGATCCTCCCGGGGGGGATACGGGGGATTCCCGCACCCCCAGCACGAGGAAATCACCAAAGGATGGAAGGAATATCCTCAGCTGGAAGGGACCCTCGAGGATCAGAGTCCAAATGCCAGCCCTGGAGAGCCCCACAAGCGCCTGTGCCAAACCACCCCCGGCATTCCTGCACTGGGAATCTTCCCTGAATGTGACACCAGCCCCGCCCTGCCCTGCTTTAGGACTGACCCACCACAGACTCCCATCTCAGACTCCCATCTCAGCCTAACCCTGAGCCTGGCTTTGCCCCAGCCGTAAATCCGTCCCTCAGCTCCACTTCCCGTTTCCCGGGAAAAATTGCAGCTACAGCCCCGTTCACCCAGCGAGAGCCCCCGAGGAGGGAGCGAATGGCTCCAAATGGAAAAGGAGATTTATTCCCCAGCGCTGGCTGTTAATAAAGGAGCAGGTTGTCGTTGCAGAGGAGCTCAGGGCATTTTTCCCCTCCCTGTTTTTCTCAGATATTCAGCTGGATTCCAGCAGAAAGCAATTTGGGATGGCTTCAGGGAGCTCGCGCTGTGTTTTAATTAGGAGAAACATCTGCCAGGCTCCGGCTGCCGCTCGTTAGGAGAGGGATTTTATGGAAAATGGTGAAACTGAGAGCGGTGCTCTGGCATCAGCCCTGGCTGACCCTGTGGGATGCTCATGGACCCCGTGGGATGCTCTTGGATCCTATGGGATGCCCATGGACCCTGTGGGACACTTGTGGATCCTGTGGGATGCTCTTGGACCTCATGGGATGCTCCTGGATCCCGTGTGATGCTCGTGGACCCTGTGGGATTCTCATGGATCCCATGGATTCTCATGGATTCTCATGGATCCCAGGATGCCCATCCTGGACCTGGTGCTCCAAAATCCTGCCAGGGCAGAAGAATCCCCCTCATCCAGGGTCTAATTCCAGTACGGGATCAGCCAGCACCACCCGGCACTGTGTCCCTTCCAGCTCCTGCCTGGCTCACTCCTGCCCTTCCCAAACCCCTCCAAGAGTCAGGGAGAAGAGGAAGATTCGTTCTCCAGCTCGGCTCTGCCTGGAGGTGGAGTCACAGAGAGGGAGCAGGCAGAGGAAGAGACATCAGAGTGAATCCAGGGCAGAGCAGGGCACGGGAGAGAAGAGAAAATGAACCTGGGGCGTGCCGGGGGGCAGCTGCGGCTTGGGGAGCAGCGCTGGCTTGGTCCTGCTCGCAAAGGGACTCTCGGCAGCNGACCCGGCTCGGGAGTGACACCGAGAATCCCCAGGGATGGGGAGAGGGATTTGGGATCCTCCAGCCCCACCTCGCCCCCAGTGAGGGGCTGGGCTGTGGGGGAACACCCCCAAATCCTGCACGGGGACAGAAGTGACACAGAAAGTCCTGTTGAGGCCACCCCAGTGAGGGCCAGGGGGGAGAGAGGCGTCACCAAGGTGGTGACACCGAACAGGCAGGGCTGTGCTGCTGGGTGGCCTCCAGGGGAGGGGACCTGGTGGCCTCATGGGGTCAGGAGATGCTTCCCGGCCCCTCAGGTTTGTCCGGTGTCCAGTGCAGGGGGAATCCAGAAGGAATCCCCTGCTCCTCCCTGATTCCATGGGGTGGGACAACCCCGCACGCCAGACGGGACACTCAGGGACACCCTGAGCTCGAGGACCTCAAAAAGACCCCAAAAACCCTCCAAAAACCTTCATGAGGAAGTTTTTCCACTGGGCATGGAGCAGCCGAGGGGGGCTTGACCCTGTTTGCCAACGGGTGCCCGTTTTGCTCATTCCACATTTTTCCCCCCAAACCCTGATGAGAGGAGCTGGGAAATCTTTTGGATTGTCCGGCGGGGCTGAGGGATGCACGAGGATGAGCAGAATTGGGTTTATTGCACGGTTTGGGGGTGGAAAAGGGGCCAAGACACAGAGCAGGGGCAGACTGGGCTCAGGGTGAACCCGCCCATGGTGCTGCTGCCCAGCCAGGGGTGAAGGGGCGCTGGGAGGGGGGACAGGCCAGCAGGGAGGGTCAGAGGGAGGCCACCCAAGCGGGCGTGATCCCCGGGCCAGCTGGGAATGCACGGCCAGCACTGGGGTGACAGCAGGGACAGATGGGGGAGCCTTGGAGCTGCCCCCGGGGTGGGTGGGAAGGGGTCAGTGCTGGCTGCTGGCTGCTGGGGATGCTCCATGGCACCCAAAACCGCTTCTCTTCCAGCTGCTGTGGCCCTCTCACCCTGTCCCCACAGTGCCACCACCACGCATGGGACCCCCCAAGCTGCTTCTGTGGGGGCACAGGGGGGTCCCAGCTCCCCAAAACCTCCCCAGGCAGGGAATCCCCATCCCCACGTGGCTCTGCCACGCTCATCAAGGAGGTGGCACTGTCCCCTGGGGTGAGGGGACAGCGCCGGGGCTCAGCCACCCCCTCAGGAGTGGGGAGAAACACGGGTTAAGCCTCACCCCTCAGCGAGGATGAGTTCGTGACTCTCTCGTGTCCCTGTCCCCAGCCCCAGGGCGGGCACAGAGTGTGACAAGAGCCCCTCTCGCGCCGCCACCACAGCGTCCCTCTGTCCCCAACCCCGCCGGGCTCAGCCGAAGCCAAGAAGGCACCAAGGAAGGGAGGACGCAGTCCCAAAACTCATCNGGGAGGTGTAGACCATGTCCCGCTGTGGAATGGGGTGTGGGGGTCAGCACAGAGTGAGCCGCATCCTGCTGAGCCCTCCAGCCAACCAAGGACTGGTGATTCTGTGATTCTGTGATTCTGTGATTCTGTGATTCTGTGATTCTTTGGTTCTCTGATTCTCTGATTCTCTGATTCTCTGATTCTCTGATTCTGTGATTCCCAGCTAGCAGCAGGCTGATTTATCCTGATGATTTATCCTAATGAATTATCCCCATGATTTAATTCCCTACAAACCATATTTACAACCCCGCTGTCAGCTCCCACCCAGCGCTGGCAGCAGCCAGGATGGATCCCAACCACACACAGTTCCTAATTCCCAAACTCTGCTGCTTTCTCTCCCTACTGCTCCCATTCCACCAGGCCCTGCCACCCCCGGCCTGTCCCCGTGTCCCCTCTCACCCTCAGGTCGCCGTTGGTGATGTGTGAGGCTGGGAACGAGGCGTAGAGCGGCTCTTTCCGGTAGATTTTAATGATGCTTCTGTCCTGGATGTCTCTGGAAGCAGAGGTAGAGCCTGAACACCTGGACAGACCCCCCAAAACCCCAGCAGAGCACCCCCCACCCCCTTTTTCCTTCATCCCTGTCCTGGGTTGTAAGATATGAGTGTGTTCTATTATCTGTTGGAGGTGGGGCAGTTTGCCTGAGAATGTTTTAATTTTAAAACTATAACAAGCTGGAGGGGGGGAGGTTTGACATTTTCCATTTTAAGGGAAACTCCTGCCTTCCTTGGCAGACACCTGACTTTTCAAACCAGGACAATTCCACAGATTTCCCAGTTTGTGATGGATTTAAAGGACAGGAAACCAGCCCGGGGTGGGATTTGATCCCTCCCTGCTCACCGGACATCCTCCAGCTCGTAGAAGACGTTGCGGGACTCGTCCTTGATGAGGATGGCAGTGTTGGGGGACTTGAGCATGCCCATGGTGAGCTTCTGCGGGAACATGTGCACGATGAGGGCGTGCAGGGTGTCCATGCTGCTGATCTCGTGCGTGATGTGCACACGCCTCGTCTCATCCCCAAACTGCAGGAACAGCACCCCTGGGAGCACAGGGGGCATGCCGGAGTCAGCTCTGACCGTGCCCCTTCTCCACAGAGCTGACAGGGTCTTCCCAGCCAAAAAGAAGGGGTTAGGGGAGCTGTGACCACTCAAAACTGCCCTGGTGAAGGTGGAAGGGTCCAAGGCAACCAAAAAAATGGGTTGGGGAATGTTTGGCCACCCAGCCTCGCCCTGGTGAAGGAAGGTGTTCCTAGAGAGCTCTGGGGCACCCAAAAAAATGACATGGGGAACTTCTGGCCAAGAGCAGCTTGGTCTGGAATTTTGGGCAGATGGAGACCAGCCCCACCCTCCACCATGGGGGTTTTGGAGCCCCCAGGGGTACCTGGGGAGCGCAGCTTGGTCTGGCTGGCCGAGCGGGACAGGGGCAGGCTCTGCCGGAACCGGTTCATCCTGTTGAAGGCCAGCGGCAGCTCCGCCTCCGACATGGTCTCCAGGGACTCGGCCGAGGCGAAGGAGAGCTTGGCTTGGTCGGCCAGGCCAGGCTGGGAGCCCTGGGAGTGCCGGGAGCTCCTGGTCTGCAACGGGACAGGGACAGGGACAGGTCAGGGGAGACAGGGATGGGTGGCCCAGCAGCCCTGGTGAGGCTGGTCCTGCTTTTCCTCGGGAATGGGGTGCCGGGATGGAGAAGCTGGTGATGGGAACATGGAATGTCCTGGGATGGGGGGGAGACATGAAAGTTGGCGAGTGCAACCCCTGGGACACCCCCAAAAATCCCTCCCTGTGCTTGAGGGTGGGGCTGGGCCGCATCCAGGGGGCTCCATCCCAAATCCAGGGGCTCCATTCCACATCCAGTGATCCTCCATCCCACATCCAGGGATGTTCCATCCCATATCCAAGGATGATCCATCCTCATCCAGGGATCCTCCATCCCACATTCCCTCCCCAGCTCAGGCTCTGACTTGTTCCACCCCAGCTCCATCTCCTGCTCCCAGCACAGACCCCATTCCCAATCCCACCCCGCTCCAGGATAAACCTTCCCAGCTCCATCCCGGTGCCTCTGGGCTCCCACACCGGCAAACCCCTGGAATTTAACTCTGGAATTAAAGCCCAGAATTTAACCCTGCAGGAAGGAGCCGAGGCTGCCAGAGCCGGAATAACCTTGGCTGCTCCTGGAGGTTACACATCCATTACACCACTCCCGGAAATCCTAAATGCCCAGATCCTTCTGGAAGCAAAGCACTGGGAAGGTTTATGGCTCTGGGAGCCTGGAGGATTTCATTTTCCAGGATCCCCATTTCACAGGAGCCTGCTGCCAGCAAGTTCCCACCAAGGATATGGAAAATGTGGATTTTCCAATATCCCAAATATCCCAAATATCTCCAAATATCCACAAATATCTACAAATATCCAGAAATATCCCAAATATCCACAAATACCCACAAATGTTCACAGATAGCCCCAAATTTGTGGCCATTCCCAGCACTGCTGTGTGTTAACAACCCCAAAAACCCAAGCCTGGATTTTCCAGACACTTGTTGAAGGTTGGCAAAGCCAACAGAGGGAACAAACAGCTCCCAGGGTGTGTGGAAAAGACGTCGCTGGAAAAGGACAACAGCTCTATTTTAAGATGGGGAAAAAAGGAAAAAAAAAAGAAAGAAATCAATATGAAATGATAACAGCCATCATCGCCATTTAAATGAGACATTAATTGGAAGATTTAATTAATCCTGCGAGGCGGGGTTTGGGAGGACTTGAAATGTTCTCGCCCATAGTTAATTGCTGGAAAATTGACTGCTGGGCTGGGTTGTTGTTGTTGCAGCACAAAGAGCCCTGGCAGAGCCTCACAGCCAGGAAGGGATGCAGGGATGGAGGGAAGCATTCCTTGCTCCCATCCCCGGGGCCGTGGGATGCAGCTCTGACCCCTCGTGGGGGTGGTTTTAGGGTGGAAAAGGGGGATTTTGGGGCTCCCCGCCCTCAAGGTTGTGGTTTCTGGGTACCCTGCTCGGGTTTGGGGTGGTGCTGACACAGATCCCAGCCCAGGATGGATCCTTAGGGAAGCACAGGGATGGAGCTGGAGCTCCTGGTGGGGATGCGAGCCAGGGCTGCAGCTCTGCCTGGCTCTGCCTTCCTGGATCATTCCCCTGTCCTGTTCCCATTCTCTGGGATCTCACCCTGCTCTAAATCCATCCCTGCATCCATCCTTTCCACTCCCCACCCCAAATGCCCCCCATCCCTACACCCTGGAGTGTCAGAGACCCCTTCCCTGTCCCAGGTGAGCCCAACACCCCCCATCCCTGCCCTTTTCCTGTTCTCTGGGATCTCACCTAAATCCATCCCTGCATCCATCCCTGCATCCATCCTTTCCACTCCCCACCCAAATCTCTCCCCATCCCCACCCCCGGGGGTGACAGGAACACCTTCCCTGTCCCAGGTGAGCCCAGTCCCCTCCCGGCCCTGCAGCTGCCCCCGGGCACCGAAGCCTCCCCGCTGTGGATAATTCATGGAATGAGTCAAACCACAAAAAAAAACCCCAACCAAGCCAGGCGAGATGGGAGTTAATGGGTTTTTAGCCCGGAAGGGACCGTTCTGCCCTGATGCTCTGCACAATGTGCTGTCCCCAACCCCCAAAACTGTCCCTGGCACTGGGGCAGAGCAACTCCTGCCCCCCTTCCCTAAACTCAGGGCACCCCTGTGGGCTGGGACCCTCCCAAATGGGCACAGAAACCCCCGAGATGGGCACAGAACTCCCCTAGATGGGCACAGAACTCCCCTAGATGGGCACAGAACCCCCCGAGATGGGAACAGAAACCCCCTAGCTGGGCACAGAAACCCCCGAGATAGGAACAGAAACCCCCCAGAGGGGCACCTCGGTGCAGCTTTGCCCATCCTTGTGAAATTGCAGATGTTTCGGGAGGTCCTGACTCTGCCCTCAGGGTGCCAGGTGTGCCAGTCTGGATGTCCCCTGCCACCCCTGCCCCACCAGGGCATGCAGGGGGCATCTCCCAGCTGGGAAAGGCGCAGGATAAACCCCAAAGACCACCCTAAAACACCCAGAGTGGCCATAAAAACCTTGTGCCCCCCATTTCTCTGTCCTGCCCCACATGTGACCCTTTTATCCACACCCAGACCCCTCCCCAGGGGCTTCGGCAGCCCAAAATTCCCCGTGGCCACCGAGAAAATTCCCTGTGGGATCTGAGCCCACCCGGCTGGTGGCAGGGAAGGGGTGGAAGGAGGGAGGGAGGGAGGGAGGGAGGGGACAACGCCCCCCTGCTCCTGTCCCCAGCTGGGAAATGACCCATTTCCTGCCGAGCCAGCCCCAGAGCGGCGATCCTAGAGCTGCATCCTGGAATTCCCGGCTGGTCCCTGCCGGAATTCCAGCAGGGAACGCTTGGAACGGCAGCGAGGGAGCGCAGCCACAACAAAAGCGGCTCAAGGCCACGGGGAGACTGCGCCGGGAAAAATGAGGAATTTCGGGGCAGAGGGGGCTGGGCAAAGGGCACCGAGCTCGGGATGCCCAGAGCTCCCCCCGGGGTTAAACCTGCTCGGATGGAGCCCCCCGGGAGCCTCCTGAGCCGAGGGAATCCCGATGGAGCAAAGCTTGGACCCCTGGCAGTGCCCTCGTGGTGATGGTCCCGGGGAAAACCGACCCCAAAAAAACCCCTCTGGAGGAGGCGGGGGCAAAAAATCCCGAATTCCAGCAGGGCTAGGGGCACCCCCAGAGCCTCTGGAGGAGGAAATGGGGAAAATCCCCAGTTCCAGCAGGGCCAGGAGCATCCCCAGAGCCTCTGGGGAAGGATATAGGAAAAATCAAAATCCCAAATTCCAGCAGAGCCAGGAGCATCCCCAGAGCCTCTGGAGGAGGAATTGGGAAAAATCCCCAATTACAGCAGGGCCAGGAATGTCCCCATCCCCTCCCCCGTCCCTGGGAGTTTTATATAAAAACGGTGGGATGGGGAATGGAGGGAGTTTTTTAATGTCGGATTTTTTTTTTTCTCTTTTGTCTCCCCAGAGCTAAAAAAAGCCACAATTAAGGGATTCTTTGAGCTCCTAAAAAGCCCCGATCATCCCTGCGGAAGCAGCTCCATTATCTCTGCCTGGAGATAAGGATGCTCCTCATTCCTGCATCATCCTCATCCTCCACACCCCTCTCCCACATTCTCCGGCCCAGCTGGGAGGGCGGAATGCTCGGAGAGAAGCGGGGAAGGATCAAAGGACCCGGCGGATTTTTGGGAATCCGTGAAAGGAGAGGGGTCACCCCTCGGGATGGGGAAAAGCGGTGGAGCTGCCTTGATGGAGAGGGCGAGAGGGGTCAGGAGGGGGACAGAGGTGATAGGAGCAGCCCTGGACCTCCCGCAGGTCACTTCAAAGCAGATAGGAGGAAAAAAAAAAAAAAACCCAAAAAAAAAAAAACAACGAAAAACCAAGGGCAAAATGCATGGGGAAGGAATCCTGCCCCGGGATGGAGCAGCTGCTCCCAACAGCACCCGGAGCGACCCCACAGCTGCAGATTTCCACCCTGCGACTCTGCCAGGGGCCTCGGGGAAGGGACACCGGGTTTGTCCCAGCCCCACAGGCTCCCAGGGCTGTGCCCGAGCCCTCCCGAGGGAAAACGGGTCCTGCCCGACCCCTCCCGAGGGAAAAACGGGTCCTGCCCGACGCCTCCGTCCATCCCACACCCGAGGGGCTTCCAGGTCATGACTGGTGACAGGGACAGCAGGAGGAGAAGCGGCTCCGTCCCCGTCTGACGCCCTCGGGATACTCAGAGCTGCAATTCCCACCCCATCCCCAGCTCCGCACCCCCTCGCACGCCAAAGCCTCCGAGACCAGCCCCAAAACCGACCTGGGATGGACAAACCCTCGCTGTCCCAGTGCCACCGGCGGCGCCTGTCCCCGGGCTCAGCCTCCCCTCCCCTCCCGCCACCGGGAGG